ATGCCAGATTTTATAGATAAAAAATACATATTTATAATTCCGCAAGCAACTATACAACTCAATCCAATGCCGGTAGCCTAGATTCAACTACACTAAACATACACACAAGGCTAAGATAATACAATACTAAGCTCCCACAAGTGGAGAATCATACCATCAATATTAATGAAGAATAAACACCTAAACAAATACAAACACAAACATAAACACAAACAAAGCAAACTTAAACACTAGAACACTAGCATAACTAGAATAACTCTCCTCCCCATCAGCCGACAAGCTACTCCGTAATAACGCCACGAAACCGACACCCGTAGGCGACCACCCATACGTACAAAAACATTGACCAGGTCGCAGACCCTGAAACTCCAATACTTCCAACGGCTAACTAAATTCGGACCAACCGGACAAAATTCCTCTCACAAATGGAACACTCCATACCAACAACCACCAGAGGCCTACACCCAACTCCATCCAGGTGGGTGATAATGGGTCCAAAACACGACCACAACCGAAGACCGCAGGCTTTTGCTCCGGCTGGAATAACTTCGCCACCCATAAAAGAATAAGATCTTCCAAAGCCCCCACACGCCGCCGATGCAACCCATCGACCCAACACAAGGGAAGAACAAGAAGCAGGGGAGAGGAAGACGCCGACCTCAGCATCGACCACCACAAAAGGCGATCAGAGCCAACAACTCGATCTAGCCGTAGAATCGTCAGAAACCAACTCCAAACTGCCATAGTGGATCGATAACAAACAACGAAACACTACGTAAAGGAGGGGATGACGATACTTCGAGGGACAAGCCACTCGACCCGGTGATGGACGACACTGCGGCCGCGTGGAGCGCCCGATTAAGAGGAGGCGCCGAGAAAGTAAGAGAGGTGAGGGTTTTTTTAGGGAAAGGGAATTACTGTTGAGAGAGATATTTTTCCTAAAATCAACTTATGTTCCTAGCCAGACTCCTACAGACTTAGGGAGGAATTATTTAGTTTTTACGGGAAGCCTCCAGACCCCTTTTACAGATACTGGAGTTCAACAACTAATGATTTTTGCAACTCCAACGAAAACGATGTAATAGTATTTTTTCTGGTAAAGACTTCTCCAACTCTGCGCCACAATGTTACTCTACTTTAGAGTAGTAGTGTGAAAAGCTTGCTCCAATGTTGCACTATATTTTCACAGCGCTACAATTTGTAGGAAGATGTAAAAAGTATTGCGCTATAGCGGTAATATTCACGACGCTACAATTTTTTTATTCAATTTTAATTTTATAATTGAATTTTATTTTTAGATATTATTTGATAAAATATACATCAATAAAATTATTTATTTTTTTAAATAATTTTAAACTTTAATTTTTAGTTGTATTTAAATTTTATTTTGTACTGATATATTCCATATAGAGTAAAATGTAGGCGAACGACTGGTGACGAAAATTAAATTTTTACATTCTCTACACGAATAGAGTAGAGTAGACTAGAGTGGAGTAGAAGATGCCTTCCACGGTAGACTTCAAAAGCTGCACACCTTATCTATTAGTGGAGCTTAAAGTGATTCTGCAATAATACATATTTTATTTCCCATTTGATGAGAATATTATTTTTTTTTTATTTTTTAATATTTGATACCAAAGTTTTACCACTCCGTGGGTATTAAAAGGGGAAACGGGCCGAACGCTGCTTGGCACTCAAACAAATAAAGAATGAAAGGTTCGATGTAATTGTCTCGACTTACAAGGAGAGCAAAGTGAGACTCGACCATACAAACGAAGCGAAGTGAAGTTCACACCACAGACGATAAAACGTCAACTAGCTACTTCTTCTCTTCTGAAATATAGTTATTATTTCGGATTCAATCAAAGTGCAGCCCCTTCAAGTTTTGCTAGTATTTGCAGTGAATCCTCATGTTAAGTTTGTCACCTTTAGATTTTTCTTTTTTTTTTTTGCCAAAAATTTGATATTATTTGTTATAAGGATAACAATTTGGCCCGGACCTACCTTGGCCCGTCCAGACGCTTTTGAGATTAGCCCATTTCAGATTGCTTTCAGAATGGGCCAAGTCGGGTATGGCTCGTTTTATGAGCGCGATAGGTCCAAATACCAATGTCGCCCTGCACCGTTTTGCCCCGACCAACCCCAACACGTCCCATCTCGCCCCCACGCTTGACGCCCCCATATAATAAGTTATGTACTAAAAGTCGGCCTAGGTGCCACGACTTTTACCTAGCTTGTAGGTGCTCCAAAGAATAGACGGCGTCTAGGCGAGCTAGACAGTTGTGAAGCTACTCGCGCCTAGGCGGCGTGGGTGGATACCTAGACGGACTTTAAAGTGTTGAGGTGCCCGTATATTTTTCTTTTTGAATTATTTAATTTATTTTTTAAATTTATAAAAATAATTTTAATTTTTACACATGAAATTTATATTAATAATATAATAAAATTAGTAATATTTATTTCACTATTAATAAATGTATTAGATTTTGCATAATTTTTGTATTTGACCATATTAATTGATATATTTTATATAATATATTTTAAAAATTCTGCATGATGATAAATATGAATAAATTTATTAATATTTTGCGCATTAGATCTACACTCCAATCGGTCTGGGGCTTTAAGGAAATGTAAGATCAAGGCGAGAGATGGGTACACTATAAGGTTCCGCTTCACACCTTGAATGACTGATTTAATGAGCTCGGCTCGAGTCTACCGCCGAGTAAGTGCCTAACGACTTCTAGAAATCAATGAGTTATAGAAAACCCAAACCCTAATATTTCTGTCAACAACACATAAATCATACTAAAATCTATTCACACAGTCCAGGATTATCTTCCTATTCATTATCCCAAACAAAAGAAAAAAATATGTCATCCTAAAGGTTAATGATGGAGAAGATCAAGACAGCAACTATATAATGGGGATGAGGAATATACAGTGAAGGATCTATTAGAGCATGTTTGGATATGAAATTTTTTTGTTTTGTTGGATTTTTTGGTTTGGTTTGGTTAATTTTGGAAAAAGTGGTATGATTAGTTGTTAGTGGGTATATTAAAAATAATATTTAAAATAAAATAATTAAAATTGATTTGATATAAATGTAGGAGAGAGATGATTGAAGTAATGGTTAGTTAAAATAATGTGAGTGGATGAATAGTGAATTAAAGTTGATGTGGTGTGTATGAATGATTGATTGATATTATTTAATTATATTAATAATATTGATTATAGTAGGTTGAGTTATAGTTGAGTTAAAAAATATGGTAAGTTAAAATGTTGGAAATTTTTTGAAAAATTTTCATAAACAAACATGCTCTAAATAGTCCAAAAATATCCTCAAGGGGAAGAAGAATGAAGGCGATTCCTGCCTCAAGCCACCCCACCGCCTACCACAAGCGACCTCAAAGACAGGAGCCAACCACCGGCCTACCAAAATGCATTATTTATTTATTTATTTTCTCTCAAATATCAAATTTCATTACCACTCCTTAAAAGTACAAACAGGTAATCATCGAATTACACTTGATAATCCTTACTAGCCTAAAATATAAAGAGAATCAAACGGAGAAAACACAACAATTGTTCCCCTACACGACCCACAAGGTGCAAATGGCCAAAACCAACAAAAAACACCCTGTGAGACTATAACACTCCACAAGAAAGACTAGCAAACTCCACAAAGGGGGAGACTACAAAAAACGCACTCCCAAAGGAGAGAGAAAAGAAACAAAACACATAAACACACGGACAAGAACACAAAATAAAACAAAACTTAATATCTATAATAAAGCCCTCTCCACTAGCGGCCAAGCTACTCCGAGAAGCCTCAAGCGAACCGACACCTAAGCGGGAATAAATCCCGGCCCAAACAAGGTCCTAGAAACTCTATTACCGACTAACTAGAACCGGACCAAAGACAAGACCCAAACCAAACAGCCACCAATTGACCGACACCAGGTAAAACCGCGCCCTACCCACCCCCAGCCCGGCCGACGACCACAGTCCGCCGAGATTCGTCGATTAGGGTAAAGGGGGAGAAAGGAAATCGCTGACAAAGAGAAAGGAAAGAGTTTTTTCTACCAAAATGCATTCATCTTCACCAAATTTACGCACTTTGTGTCGCTTATATTTCGATTTTATTGATATAAGATTTCAGNTACATCATTCAATTTAAAACTATAAAACTATAACCAACTTATTAAAGTGATCGACAAGATTAATTAATTTATAAATTTCTTTAACCATGCAACAGACACATGCATTTTACTAGTCTAAAAAATGAATGGAAAAGATGTTATTACTAATTTAAGTCTTGCCTTAATTAATATATGTATAGGTGAGCCATAACCACAAAGAAATCCATCAGAAAATAAAATAAACTAGAAGGAGATAAACTTAAAATACAAGACAAGCAACTATTGGGTTCAGTACAAACATATTGAATTGCTTGCACATGCAGAACATATCTCACTCAGTCTGAGACAAACTGACTTTCCCTTGAAACAATGAAAGTGAATGAAACCACTGTCATGCTGGTTGCACAGCTAAATACTTATTTAATACCATTGACAATAGAAACACACACCATAATTCCAATTCATTTGAAGAATGCAATTAGTGTTTGATCTTGGGCTTTTTCACTATCATCACCGAGCAGTGAGCATGGTGAGAGCAATAATCGCTTACGCTGCCTAAAACGGCTCTGCATGCAACACCACATTGTATTCCAAAAATCAGGCATACATTAGAAGCCAATTGAAAAGCTAAAGCAAATATTTAGTCAATTTTCAATTTTGCGATGAAAAAGCAGAGCAATGTACCTTTTTATAGCTCCATAACCATGGCTGCCAACAACCAATACAGAAGCATGGTGCTTCTCCACAGCCTCACAGAGAACACCCCTGGCATCACCCTCGACAACTTCAAATATCACATCATTCACCTGCATAACATTACCAGGTACATTCTCTACTTAAAATTTGAGGGAAAAAAAAAAAACGCACATTACAAGAAAATTAATTGTTCATAAGTTTCAATATATTTCTTGGGAACCCAGGATGAAACCTTCTAATTATGAAATGATGTTTCATCTCTTAATTTTTTTCATCCTACTATTAAAACCCATGTTTTTCCCCTTTATCATTATATGCTGGGATTTGTATGAAAATTTCATCTAGTGCCCACACATAACTCAGGGATCGAACTTGCCGTAAGTGGGCTTGATTAATCAATTGGACTAGGGCTTTCTACCATATGTGCAGAAAGTAAATACAGCATGATCAAACACCGGGTATTTAATACGTTAATCGGTAATTTTCAATCAGTTAATCAGTAATTTTCAATTAGCTTGATATTCATTGCAACAAAACAAAATTTTACACAAGGGGGATTATTTCTTCACAAACGTCTGCAATTTGATTAAATCAAAACCAACAAATTTGTTCAGTTGCAGGCTGCAGCTATAGAATTAAGTATTAAATGATAAATTACCGATTTAGCAGCGCAAATTTCCTTGGCCTTCTCCAAAACCCTGGACGCAATCTTCTTCAGATCCAAGTCCACATAAGGCAGCACCTCAGCAGCACCTGCAAATTACAAAAACCATCAAACAATTGCTCCGAAATTTTCTTTTAAAATTGAACACAAATTCCAAAATCAAAGGTCAATTCCGATTAGAAATTCTCGAATCGCGAATGTTTACTGGGGCCAACAAGGCCGACGGCGGTCGCCGGAGAAGGCTTGGCATGGACCACAACGAGCTTGAAATGGGAATTTTCCGGCGGGCCGGAGAAGAAGTGATCGAGAGTCCAACTCAAAGCGTAGAAGCCGTGTTCGCTGTCGTCGAGGCCTATCACCATCACCGATTTCTCCATGGCTGCAAAGCTCGATCAAAGCTTAACAGAGTAAATTATCAGCTGATAAAAGTGATTGAAATCAGGGAATTTGGGGCCTCTTATCAGTGGAGAATTGATTCCTTTTTATGTGCAGGTATATGATGCGGAAAATTTGGTGGTGCTTAGTATAGCTGTTTGTTTCTCTTTTGATTGAAGCTTCTGGACGTGGCGGCCAAATCGTGGTTATCGTTTGTCCAATTCGCAATTTCACGTAATCGTATTCTTTTTGTCTTCTAAAAAGGTTTTTGTATCAAATAATGAATCAAGAAATTATAAAAATTGTATCGTTTACCAAATCGCAGATTTACGTAATCGTATTCATTTTGTCAAGAATTTTATGCGAAACAAGAAATGTATGATGGATACAAGCAATCTTGACAAAATTGAAATATTTTTGACTCAGTAATTTTTTATTTCAACTTTAATTTAATTTTACTATTTTTGTTTTTGTGAAATAAAGAAGACTAGAGAGCAGTAATTCAGCCAATACACATTCAATCGGCCTAATAGGCCAGCTATACCGCTAAATCTAGTTGTGAGGACTACATAGACAAGTAGCTTAGACCTGACTTGACAACATAAAACACAAGAAAATTCTTAAGGACATCCACATTCCTTAACACAAAAATCATTCATTCAATCAAAAAGTAACACTCTACATTATCTTCACATCATCTTTCCATTAAATCTCTCTCCATTTAAACACACACCCACATTCCTACACATTCATTTAAATACATATGTGGGACCATTATCCACTCATTTAATATAATTTTTTACATTCTATTCTCAATAAAAATAAATTTTAATATTTTTAAATTATAATAATAAATTTTAAATGCATTAAAATGAAAGAACATTACAAGACCAAAATAACTTAAATTAAGATTACACAAGAAAAAAATAGTACGATTACAAAAAATATTTTTTTTTTAGTTGTTGGCAAAATAAGCCCAAATATGCTCAACTAAATCGGCACGGATAAAATCTGAATTTATCAATATTGAAAAATTTGATATAGATAAAAAATAAAAGTTAAATATAAAAACAAAAAGAAAAAAGATTGAATTAAGCAATGATTTAAAACCAAAAAACAAAAAACAAAAAACAAAAAAAAGAAGAAAGCAAAATGAAGCGTTCAATTGGCTGAACGGATGAGTGGGCCCCCCACTTAATGGATGAGCCACATCCATCTTTAACGCAGGGGGCGTTTAAACGGAGCAAAAAAAAATCCGCGATGCGAATGCTCTAAGATAAGACTAACAAAAGCTTCCACAAATAGAGAATAAACGAGATAAAAACATATCTTTAAACAACCTAAAAACAGAAAGAGTTGACACCTTACATTTGTTAAAAATATATTTAGAGATGCTATATTCATTTGGATTTCCAACAAAATGCAATGTAATTGTGATTATTAGGAAATCACATGAATCATTTATAATTCTGATGTTTCATTTGAAATTCTTTTTTTCTTTTGTATGTCCAGTAATATTAATTTTATCTTGTAGTGTTGATGAATAATCCCACTATTATTTTCAGTGGATCCTGTAATAAGAAAGTAGACATGCTTTATTATCTGGATTTTTTTTTAATTGTATGCATTTTTTTTGCCATACCCATTTATTGTAAAGTATTTAAAAGTATAGGAATTTGCAAAGATATAAAATCATCCAAACATATATGCACATATACAAGAATTCCAATTTAAGTCAACTTGTCTTTTAATTAAGGAAGAAACCATATTATGTATGATTTATGGATTAAAATTGATTTCTAATTTTTAGGGGATTGCATTTACTTTCATTTTATTCTCTCTCATCCCTTCCTATTAATTTCTTTTCTTTTCTTTTTTCTTATTCTTCTTTTCATCCCTTCTCCTTCGTCCATTTCTTTTTCTTCTTCTTCCGCCGCCGCCTCACTCGCTGACGCCGGAGGTTGGTTTAAACTCATTGAGGGGCACCGACGAGACTCCACAAGTGCGGTCGAGTTCACGCCTCCGACATCTCCAAACAAAAAGCGTTGGAAACATGGTTTAGAAAGAAAAAAATAAATAAATTTCGAGAAGATATTGAAGCCGGGGGTTACGAGAAGATTACGGATAAATTTCGCCGTGAAATCGATCATTCTCAGTCCGACCAAGGCGAAATTCAACAAAATAAGTCCCGGAGACGGCCAAAATTAAAGAACTTCAAATTGTCCGAAGAAGACGCCACAAAGGACCTCAATTTTATCGTTGAAGACGACAATCCAACTGGGAGTGACAAAGTTGAAGAAGATGAGCGTAAACGACATTGACGAGCAGAGGTTGAAACAAAAATATAAGAAAAAAATAATAATCTAGGATAATCTCAACGACCCTACGATGTCGACAGTTGATGTTGCGTTTATGTATATATTTCCGTCGGCACAATTTCAATGATCCTACGAAAGTTTACGTGTGAGCAGTGGCGACATACGAATACTTCTGATAGGATCTATTTTATTGTTTATTTAATGTTTATTCATAATTTATGTTTAGTATATTAGAAGGTTTTCACTATCTGTTTCAATGTTTGTTGGATGTTTTATTCGTAGTTTATGTTTAGTGTATTAGAAGATTTTTGTAAACTATTCAGAATATGTTGTGTGTATATAGAGTATATGTTCAATATATTTTCAGCATATTAGAAGATTTTTTGTAAATTATGAGCTTATTGCAACATGTACTCAATATATACTAACTATAAACGTAATATATACTGATCATTCAATACATCTGAGAGCTGAAAAATTTTACTCACTATCAACACAACATATAGTTCGTTGTAGCTGCAATTTTTACGAAACAAAACAATACATACACCATTAGTAAAACACAGTTAAATAAACGACCAAAAGAAAAAAATATGAAACCAAATATTTCAGTCAAGTAAACAATACATATACTTTCAGTAGATTATTGCAACATATACTGGATATATACTAATTATAATCGCAATATATATTGATCACTCAAAAACCTGACAGCTGCGTGAATTACAATAAATGTTTTATTTATCTCTCTTAAAAACGCATAATCTATGTGAATTAAGGGAGCCAGTTATTTATTATATGCATGTTTTCATTTATCTCTCTTAATCAAGCATTTTTTTAGTACCCTATGCAGATCAAGCGGAAAACAAGGGGTGGAGGTTGGAATGATATGGTAACTGATTTTAGACATAATCTCTATATATATAATTAATAGCCAAACATTTAATAAAACCTCAAAACTTTTTCCTTCAAAATACGTTACTTTGCATTAATTAAGTACTTATATTTCTTATTTATTTTATTATATAACAACTACTACTAACAAATCATAAAGTCATATTAAATGGTATTATAATTTTTTTTTTTCAAACTATTTATTTAAAGTATTATTATTATTATTATTTTTTTGTTGAAACTCATTAAGTAATTTTTTATTATTAAGATCAGTTACTTAATTTTTATGATATAATCAAAATTCGTAAACAATTGCTATATTAATAATAATTTCAATATTGTTTTATCTAATTACTTATTCATAATAAAAAAGATTGTAAAAATTATATAACTGCAATCGATATAAATATTGTAATAGTTTATCGTTCCTTTTTATTAATGATAATTTTATAAAATATTATATGTTATTATCTAACTTATTATTTTAAATATTACATACACATACATATATCATATAAAATTTTATTTGCATTGTGCATGTGTCTAGGATCGAACGTTAGTTTAGATAAATTTTATCTTTTAGGTAAAGACGTAATTAATTGTATTTGTACGATAAATTTGCAAAATTTTCCTAATCGTGTACAAGAAGTAAAAAATTTCCCTTAGTATGGGGAAGAACCAGAATTATCAAAGTGTCCAGTTTAAAGCAACCGACCGTTTAATAGTTGACGGGCTTGGGCCTAAAAATGTAACCAAACAAACCTAAAGAAAAAAGACCATTAAAGGATGAATTTATTATCTTGCCTGATAACAAATAATAACAACTATCATACGGCTCCTTGCAGCGGGCAGCGGCGGGTAAAGAATTCAGAAAACCTATCAGATTCACCGTCAATCTGTCCATGGATGCACTCAGACTCCGCAAGACCATCATCGCATCCCGCCGGAGTTCAACCGCCTATTCTACCACCACAACCTGCTGTCAACACAACGAGCGAGAGGGGAGATACACGCCATATTCAAGGAGTGCGGCGTCAGATCAGCATCGACACGGACAAGGATACCTGCGGCACCGCCTTCTTGGCGCTACGATGCTGAGACCGCCGTCGAACACCTTTCGGGCTTCAGCGTTGCCAGCAGATCTCAGATGTTTGAGACCACCGTCGGCGTTACCCGCAGGCGAAGATGGGCAAGAAATTTGTCCAGAGGAAGACGGTAATTACTTTCTTCTGCAATTGTGCTATGCGGCGTTAGGGTTTTGATGTTTTGATTGAAAAAATGTTTATATCGATGCCTTCTGATTTTCTTCCCCATTCTAAATCCCCCTTTTCTTTGTATATTGTCAAGATTCGGGGTCCTATGTGAAAAGAAAGATGCGGGCCAAATAGCCATCGAAGCATGAACAAAGATTTCCTGCCTGATCCTCAAACAACAAAAAGCCTCTCATGTCAGTGCGATTAGGGTTTTCTGAATCCCACTCAAGTCAGTTTTCTTTATTCTTCTTGTTCTTTTATATTACTCAACAGGTGAGTTAATTGCTTTCTTTATCATTGTTAACTGTATATGTTATCTCTATTTCCTCCTGTTGTTCAATTACATGATTGGAATTTTTTTTCCTCCTGTGCTTTATCTGAGTGAGACATACTGTTTACTTGCTGTGTTCGTACTGCCATAATTATCACAGGTCAAACCTTGTTGTGTATCAGTTTTTTGAGAATTGCTAAAACTCTTTCACATTGTGATTAGTTCTTTTCGCTTTATGACATTTCTGAATAAATTTTTTTTTGCATTTGTCCATATGGTTTTTAATTCTAGTTATTTTGGTAGTTTGATCTATCTCTTTGTTGTAATGGTGGGGATGCCTTTTGAAGTTGGACTAAATTTGGTTTCTGGTTCTGTAGAGTTGATTGTTTATTGGTGGCAATTGGATAGGACGAAAAGTTGTTGGATGATTGAATTTTCTTGTGCTGTTTTTGTTCCTTTTCTTTTTAAGTATTATCATTGTTAACTGTTTATGTGTACTGTAATTTCTTACTGTAGTTCAATAATATGATGTTGTTCAATTATATGATCTGGGTAAATTAGATGCCACTTGTGCTTTACTTTAGCGAGACCCAGTGTTTTACTCAGTGTGGTCTATTGTTTACTGCCTTAAGATCAAACCTTGTTGCACATTAGTTTTCTGAGAATCGCAAAACATGTTTCATGCTGATTATTGTGTGCTAGAAACATGCTCTCCAACCATTTTTTTTTGAATTCATTATCTGGATAGAAATAATTAATTGTTTTGTAGTGATCTGTTTTCTTTTCTTTTTCTTTATTGGAAAAATTCTAACAGAGCATGACAATTACACATACATACACTGCTTATTATTTATTTGTCTTCTACATGGCCATTCTTTTTTTGCATGAAATACTGTTCGCCATCTTTGATTTGTTGGTCTTATGCTGGGCTGAAACATATTTTTGGGATCTTTATTTTACTTTGGAGAACCTGCAACCTTAATCTTAATCTTCAGCTCTTAGTATGGTTTATTGATTTCCAGGGATTGATATGGCTGTCTTTGAATTTATTGTGATCCCTATGATTCCATTTTGGGGTGGTGGGGGAGAGTTTTGTGTTCGGTTGTGTTGCTTATTTGTGGATATGGAGTTGGACATTCAATTAGACATTTTATTAGTTTGGTCTATGTATTAATATTTTCCAACTAAGGTTCTGGTCCTGTTTTTTCTTAATGCTTTTAATTTGATTTCTTGTACAACTCTTGTTCTGTATCTTGCTACTATACATTTTGTCTTATTTCTTGTTTTGTTTTGGGGACATCTTGGTTTGTGCAATGTATTTGGTTGTGCTACCTATTTGTGGATAAGCGTTTTGTGGATAAGGGATTGGACATTCGATTATATTTTTATGTTTTCTTATATACTAGTATTTTCCTAACCAGGATATTTTATTTTCTTGTTCTTTTAATATTGATTTTTTTTCCTATTCTCTTGTGCTATCAATAAAGCTCATCTGATTTCTTTGCCCTACCTTAGGGGACGTCTTTGTTGGGGCTTTGAGTTCGATTGTGCTATGCATTTGTGGCTAAGGGGTTGGATATTCGATTATATTTTTTGGTTTGCCATCTTTGATGTGTCGGTACTACGGTAGCATGAAACTTTGTTTGGGCCTAAATTGGATGTGTGATGTGACTTGTTGATACGTGTGCAATAAGAGTTTATAATTTTTCAACAACAACAACAACATTAGCCTTTAGTCCCAAGCAAGTCGGGGTAGGCTAGAGATGAAAACCAAGAGAAACCCAAAAAGACTCGAACCAAAAGGAAGAGATCGAANTTTTCTCGGTAATGACTCTTATTGCTTGCTTTATAACTTTGATCATTTTGTTTTGTTCTCCTATTCTATCAATATGCTTCATTTGACATCTTTGTAGTGACGACCTGGTTTGGTCATTGAATGAGGTTGTGCTACTTATTTGTGCCTATGGAGTGGGCCACTCAATTAGGTTTTTTATTGGTTTGGTCTATGTATTAGTATCTTCCAGTACTTTCTTTATACTTTTAATTTTGATCTCTTGTGTTACTTTCTCATGCTACAGACCAGTACAACCAATATCTTGCTCTATCTTGGGGATGTCTTGGTTTGGGCAATGAATTTGGTTGTGCTTCTTATTTGTAGCTAGGCTAACGAGTTGGACATTCGATTAAATTCTAAGTTTTCTTATATACTAATATTTTTCTACTAGTGATCATTTTATTTCCTTATTCTTTTAATATTAATTTTATGTTCTATTCTCATGTGCTACCAATACAACCTATCTAATTTCTTTGGCCTACCCTAGGGGACGTCTTGGTTGAGGCTTGGACTTCAGTTGTGCTATGTATTTACGACTAAGGGATTGGACAGTCAATTATATTTTTTTTAGTTTTGTCTATGTTATAATATTCTCTTTAATTGTAGTTCTTAAACCATCTTTGACGTGCCTGTACTAATGTGGCATGAAATGGGTCCTAAATTGGCTATGTGCTGTGACTTTTAGTTATGGTTGCGAGCCATTTATTAGAGTCTAGAGTTTTTCAATCAATTATAATATTGTATTCTAGCGAACTTGCACATAAATTTTAATTCAAGCTTGTGTTGTTGAATTCAAACTTGCACTATGAGTTCTTGAATTCCTTTAGCATACTTTGAGATTGATATGATTTTGTCGTTGGATTTTATTGCGCGACCTATCATTCTTTTTTAGTGGGTGGAGAGGTTGGTGTTCGATTATATTTTGTTTTTCTATGTACAAATATTTCCTTGTTAATTGTGTATTGTTTCATTATACTTGGATCTTTCTGTTCTATTATCCTATGCTATCAATACGGTTCATTTGAATTCTTTGCCCTACCTTGGTCTAGGTTTGGGTTTGAGTTCCGGTGTGCTGCTTATTTGTGGCTACTTCAATTAATCTTTTTATAACTTTGGTCTATGTACTAATATTTTCCAACTAAGGTTCCGTTATTTTCATTATGCTTTTACTTTTGATCTCTTGTGCTACCAATACAACCAATAGTCAAATACAGTTCATCCAATTTCTTGCCCTGCCTTGGGGCCGTCTTGGTTTGGGCCTTGGATTTTTGCACCAAAAATTCGAGTTCCTTTTGGATTTCCTTCTTGATCAAATGGACCTCTGATTAGATTTTTAATTTTTTTTATATATTAATTTCTTCTTACCTATGATCTCTTTATTCATTATTCTTTTACATATTAGCTCAAGTATTGATAGGCGGTACAATATGTTTCTTTTTGAATTGAGATCACCATATCGATGTGTATGTGTATGTGAAAAGTTACATGTTTAGGTAACTTGATTGCTCTTTCTAAATGTGTGATATTTGCAGAGAAGACTTTTACTTGGTGTCTTGTAGAAAGTCTGAGTTGGCTTTCCTATACATCGGATGCTTTACCTTGTTTATGGAGTGGGTGTCATTTAGTTGCAAAATGACAGGGGCTTGTGAATGGCTATGTATGAGTAGTAAAAGTAAATTTCCAATTTTGTCTTTGCTGATAACGTGGATGTTGATATGCTATATAGAGATCCTATTCCGTTGAATAATTTTCTTGGTGTTTTCAGTATGCTATGTGGATGAGCATTGTTCATGTCCCTCGGAACAATCGACTTGTCTAATAATCTATTGCATTGTTCATTGGTCGATGTATACTGAGTCAATCTAGAATAGTTTGTCTATGTATAAATATTTTTTCTTCTTTTAAAATGTCTAGGTATAAATATTTTTCAATTAAGCTCCTGTAATTTCTTTATGCTTTTGATTTTGATATTTTGTACCAATATCACTAATATCCAATTCATCCAATTTCTTGCCTTGCCTATGGGACTATTTCGTTTGGACATTGAATTGGTTCTGATACCCATTTGTGGCTAAGTGGCATTCAGTGGGATTTTTAAGTTTTCCTAAATACTGATATTTTCATGCCAATATTGATCTCTTTATCATTGTTAATTGTTTATGTTACTGTAATTTCTTCCTGTTGTTCAAATTTGATGCCTCTTGTGCTTTACTTGAGCGAGACCTAGTGTTTACTTAGTGTGGTCTATTGTTTACTACGTTAATTATCTTGGCTCTAACCATGTTTTGTACTTATTTTGAGGATCGCACAAACTCTTTCACGCTGATTATTTTGCTGGAAACATGCCCTCCAACCATTTTTTTACATTCATTATCTGGATAGAAAAAAATGACTTCTGTATGGATCTTATTTTCTTTTCATTTTATTTATTTGAAAATTTCTAACAGAGCATGATACAATCAAACTACATGCACTGCTTATTATGTGTTTGTGCAATCAATTTTGCTGTGCCTACCTATTTGTGGCTAAGGGATCGAACATTCGATTATATTAATAAGTTTTCTTATATACAATACTCCTAACCATGATCTATTTATTTCCTTCTTTTAACATTGATTTTTTTTTTTTCTATCTCTGGTTTTATCAAAATAGCAAATCTGATTTCTTTGCCCTACCTTAGGGGACGTCTTTGTTGGGGCTTTGAGTTTGATTGCGCTATGTATTTGTGGCTAAGGCGATGGATATTCGATTATAATTTTTCGTTTTTGTCTATATTCTAATATTTTCATAGCATTACTATTAGTTCAAAAAAATGTTAAACATCTTTGATGTATTAGTACTGCGTTGGCACGAAATTCAGTTTGGGCCTTAAATTGGATGTGTGTTGTGACTTGTAGATACGACTGCGATAAGAATTTAGAATTTTGCAATCAACTATATTATTTTATTTTGGAGAACATGCAACCTTAAATCTTAAACTTCTTTTTCAGTCTTTTTTGATCTTAATATAATTTATTGAATTCCTTTGCCATACTCGGGGATTAATATGGTTTTTGTCTGTGAATTTGATTGTGCTACCTATAATGATTTTTTTGGGGGTTGGAGAGAGGTTGGTGTTCTACCTTGGGTGACTACCTAGTTTGGTCTTTGAATGAGGTTGTGCTACTTATTTGTGCCTACAGAGTGGGACATGCAATTAGATTTTTTATTAGTTTGGTCTATGTACTAATATCTCTTCGAGGAATTTCTTTATACTTCTAATTTTGATCTCTTGTATTACTCTCTCATGCTACCAATACAAACAATGTCTTGCTGTCAATGAATTTGGTTGTGCTTCTTATTTGTGGTTAGGCTATCGAGTTGGACATTCAATTAAATTTTATATATTAATATTTTTCTTCTAATCATCTCTTTATTTTTTTTATTCTTTTATATTAATTTTATGTTCTATTCTCTTGTGCTACCAATGCAACATATCTGATTTCTTTGCCCTACCAAGGGGACGTCTTGGTAGGGCTTGGACTTCAATTGTGCTATGTATGTACAGCTAAGGGATTGGACAATCAATTATATTTTTTAATTTTATTTATGTTCTA